GTATCCACTGTCACTCTGCAATTCATCAAAACTTAACTTCTTGTTTTGTTCTTTGACTTCTTGCCATGTCAAAAATGGTTGTGGCGCAATCCCATTGGAATTCAACTTTGGATTACTAATACATATAGGAGAGTTAGGAGAGCTTTGGGTAACAAGTCTCTTTTTCCTGGGAATGTAAGGTTCAAATTGCTCACTTTTGGTTTTGAGTGACAAATTTAATGCCATTCTGCTCCTTGATGGTGATAATTCAGGGGAATTAAGGGGTGATGAACAAAGTGATTTGTTGATATCCTGAGATGGAGCGAAGGTTGCACTGCAATCAATACTTAACAATGGCATTGAGGATATCTTTCCAAATCTTGTGTCCTGGGTAGGTTGTGCACTATGGTTAGTTTTGACTTCTGTTCTGCTGATCTCCTTAAATTTAGGAGGAGGAATCAGTGGATTGATAACAACTGACACTTTTTCCCAAACTGCAATATGCACTTCTGACAGAGGAACATTTGGTGGTGAAGAACTCCAGCTGCAGATTGGTGATTTTAGATCATCTAATTCCATCCATCTTTTCCCTGCAAGAATTTAAACAAAAACAAAAATCAAAAGGGAACAGCAGAATCTAATGACAGCCAGCACAATCACGCTGTATAGAACTTGCAAAGGGTATCACTGTTCATTCACAGTTCAATATTTCCTTTGAAAAGTGGATTATATTACAGTACATACCGCATTTCTTCACCTATAAGCCAAGTGATTTTTTCAGTATTGACACAAAAGTTTGGGAGATTTTTTCACAAGAAATGGGGTTTGGCTTATAGCTGAGGGTTTTGGATTTCAAAACAAGTACAAATTTAATGTTAATGCGAAATGACCATAAATTCTGTGACTGCAGCGCTCTTTATGTGACATGCTTAAAATTGTCATGACAACAACGTATTTCTGACCACCAGCATCGCACCATGGACTCGCTAAGTCCATAATCTCGAACACTTTCCAAGCTGTTTTCTACAGCTTCAGCTTCTGTGATAACTTTTATCTTGAAGCCATAGTATAAGAAGAGCGGCCTGCTTTTGGCATGATGAGAAAAACAACAGTGACGAAAGAGATACTCAATCGAAATGTTTGTCAGGTTACTGTAACTGAGAGTATTGTTGTGTTTCTAAAGTTGCGTAGTAGTATTTTGCGTAGTAGTATTTACATCTTCACTGATTTGCTTTTTTATTTTTTGTGTTTATTCTCATTCATTAGCTTTTGTGTTCATTGAGCCATTTCCCAATTTTTTTTTGAGGTTCGCCCACTCAAATGGCCGGTTACAATCAAGAATTTTGCTCTTGGATTCTAGCCGATGGTTTTGCTTTTTCTTTTGGACAAAACAAGTCTGTCAGAAGGTCTCTAACTTTTAGGGTCTCTGCTTATAGCCGAGGTCAGCTTATAGGTGAAGAAATACGGTAAAAGGAACACCTTATGGAGTTGGAACTAAAATGCCTTGTACCTTCATGGTCCTTTGTCCAGCAAACAAAGTGATCTGGATTTCTTTTATACTGAATTAACTGTGAGAAACTATAGTGACCACATTCCCCATCAAAATCAAGATCTTCATATGTCCCTCCTTTCAATCCTTGCTCGAAGTGAAGAAAAATGCAATCAGGCATTCTGGGAAAGAAAAAGAGATGTATAAAGTCATTGAAAAGTTCCCACTCACTTGAGATCACATGGAGTCCTTACAGTTGTATCAACCCTGAAACACATATTTTAGTCACAAAAATATGGGAAAAGATTACTAGCTAAGGATGGAGGACAGTGCAAAGAATATGCATATTAATGTTGGAAAGTTAAGGGTTAAGGTAATTCCATGAAAGACTGAGTGGCAGTTGGTTATAGTTTATGCATCTGATTGGTTGTGTTTCATAAGCCAATCACAAACTGCAGCACGAGGGAAATCCAATTCAATTCTTCCCTACTTTTGACTCAGTCTTGGACGACAATTATCCCATTACAAGAATGCAAATAAAGCAGTTTAGTGACAAACACAATTGACTTAGAAGTCCCACACTAAAGAGACATAAAATACACAATACCTGTCATACACAAGTTTGCTCTCCTGATCAAGAGCGTTACATCTGTAACATGGCCTTGTAAATCCCAGATTTTGCAAGCTGAAGTCCTTTGCTAGGTTTGGAAAAGTGACTAAATGCTTCTTCCTTCTACAATGAAATAAAAATATTTAAAATTAGAGAGATCCATGATGAGAACTGAGAGATTTGGGTATTTCATTCCCCAATGGAAAATATATTTAGTAAAAGCTAAGAGATGAAATACCATGTACTTGATTCAACATGTGCTAATAGAACATGAAAAAGAGGCAATTAACTCAGCTACACATACTTTCTTGTCATTAACATATGTTTAAAATAAACCAAGAGTCTAAAATTCCTAGAGCAATTGATTTACCATTGTGGTTCTCAGAGAAACAGTTTACCATTCAAACTTAGTTTTGGTTAAAACTTGTAATTACATGACAATGTACAATTAAAACCTAGACAGTTACATATATCTTACTTGTCAATTTGTTGATACCCACAGGCAGAACACCTAAATTCCCAGTGATAAACTTGAAGAAACCTCTCAGACACCAAATCATTTTCCTGTAACAGCAATGGTAGAGCTGCAACAGGACTATCATTAACTCCAAGTTGACACTTCATCTTCGGCTGCAAATGTGTCCAAATCATCCCTCTGATTTCTTTTAAGATCACTTCAGCTTGTTCTTTGCTTGTTGATGATAATTCTTGAGCCTGGTTGAATGACTCTGTCAATGTCCTTACCAGTGAGTCTGATTTTTGCATAAGATTTCTCAGAGATGTTGTCACAGTGACATTGTTTACAAGTAGAGATAATAGAGAATTTAGCCAACAAAGGCTATCAACATTCCTCCATTGCAAGATCTTTTCTGCAGCCTTGGATCCTGGGGAAATATTCTCTGGTTCCTGAAAAATGAGAGTATTGCTGTTGTTGTCAAAAAAATAGAGATAGTAAAGGTTGCAACTGTCATAATTGGGTTTGTAAAGAACAAATATTCAACCAAATCTCTTACAGTGTTCTGGAGAAAGGGATGTTACTGAAGTTTCTGATAACAAAATCATTTTTCCTCTCTGTTTTTTTTTTTAATTGGACAGCTACATGACAGAATACAAACTTAAATAATGGCCTTTTTCCCACAGCAATGCACTGTCACAATTATTTTGCAAGAGAGCCAATTATCTGCACTCTCCACAGGTAAATACAATGAATTTTTGAATAAAGAATCAAGAATAACATATGGTTCATGTTGTAATGGATATCTTTGAAAATCGTGGATGATGCGAGATTTAAACTTACATCTACAAAACAAGAAGTGCACCAAACAAGAGTAAGAACTTTAGAGTTAAGCAAAGCAGAGTCATACAGAACACGCGCACTGTCAGCAGCAAGTTTCAGCGAACCGCGTTGATGCCTAAGCTAATAATTCCAAACGTTATTTACCACAGCTGTTACTTGTAAGATGAAGTTGGTATCTTGCTAAAGACACCACCACTTAATACCTCTTCTTCAAACTTAAGAAAATGAAAAATGCTGCATCTTACCTCTGATTCACTTTGTTTTGGCCTCTTCTTACGTTTTCTCTTCAAGTTTGAGAACGAAGTCACCTCGGTTGCTTTCCGACTTACAATCAAGTTGGCATTCTTTGCAACCCCAAGCGGGTAAACGCACTGTAAAAGAGTCATACTATCACGCCTTAGCTTTCAAATAAGTCAGAAAGTACCTAAGCGAGGAAATTCACTCGAGATAGGACAGCCAAAATATCACAAAGAAATGCACTTACATCCTTGTCTTCACATAGCAAAATCGCCTCCTTCAAGTTCAATTGAAACAGAATAAGCCGTCGTTTCAAACCATTCACCTGACAAAGCGAGCAGAAACGTTCCATCATCTACTTTCGTAGTAGCTAATCGAACTTTTCATGGCCAAAACTTTCGTGAAGTAACAGCGAAAAGAAGTATTAGATAACTTCAAAGACTTGTACAAGGAAGCGCACATGTGCTCTTGGTGCCATCAAAAAAAACGTTCGGTGTCGTTTAGGTAGAAGAGCATGGTAATTTTGAATGTTTCCGCTGACCAAAAAAAATTGTAGACAAAATAATAATTGGCGGTGAGGGGAGGGTGAGGTCCATTTGGTTCCGAATAACGGAGGCAAATAATATTTTTAAAAAATATTAATTAGACGTTGTAGTTGCTCCGATTCCAGAAATATTTACTGTGTAGATTTCTAGGATTTGCATGGAGAAAGAGAGGGAACTGGGTAACACAGCGCTGGCAGAAGATGTCTTTTCCATGCACACACAGCAATGGACTCCTGCTGTGTGCACAGCAGGAGTCCATTGCTTAATATAAAAGGCTCCTGAGCACAGCCAATTGCATTGACACGTGTTATGGAATGTTGTGAACTGCGGAGATAGTGATTCTCTACGACATCTAGGTTTTAAAATCCGAGAGCGAGGCCCTTTTGAATAATTATTTCGTTAAAAAAAAAAAAAAGAAAAAAACGTTATTAGAGACAGTATACATAAATGGCAGGCCCAGGGTTGGAATTATGTTTCATTATATCGCCGGCAGCGCCACGAATCCTCCGATTGGCAACCCGTGCGGGTAAGACGGGCGGGCTTGCTTGCTTTGAAAAGAAAACCATTACGTGAAACAGACCAACAAAGTTAACTAGACCCTGTGAGCAGGGTAACTGGGATACCTGGATGGTACTGGATCCGTGGAATCAAGTGTAGTGATACTACGCGTGTCGGACTAGTATACTGAAATAGTGAGCTCAAGTCTGGCCAAGGGCATACACCTGTCTCAAAACATAGGCATGCTATGCATGCAAGAGTTATTTTTTGAAGGTTTGAGTAAAGACTTAAAAAAAAATTCAACTTCTTGATCGTAATCCAAACACATTGAAATACAAAGCGACTGACAAAAGAGTTTTATGGGCAAAAATCTCGTGTTCGTCATGTGACCCGGCTCTGTTCGTGCAGGACAACGTCAATCATAATCAAGATAGCACGCGTGATCAGCATGTGAACACCTCATTAGATCAGGCATTTTATGACTGGGCTACCACAGGTATCCCAGTAATAACTTTTTGACAATATTAACTATTGAGTCGCAAAAAGCGGAAAAACAAAGAAAACATAAATCTCTCTTGTGTGTTTTTTGTGCTACATATACAATTGGCTTTCTTTCCCGGCTCTCAAAATAAATAAACATGTCATTCTGGACAAAGCAAAATCGTTTTGCAATATATTAAATCCTTTATTGACCAAGCTCGTTCGGTCAAGATGGTTGGATGATAGCCAACGTGGCGTTTGGCGTTTTCTTGGACCTCGACTTCTTCTCGGTCCCTAAAAACGCAGAAAATAAATCGGCCTCTGGCCAACTGGCCTCACCTCTGAGTTCAGGTTTTTCTGATCCTTAAGGGAAATAACGAGGTTAATCGGGCTGATCTATCGCTTCGCTCGCCTTAATTCATTATCCAATCTTCTCTCCCCACAAAACACGTAATGGCGACTGGGTACGAGTCTTGGCCTCGGCCGGCCAACATGATCTCGACACCAAAATAACGATTATCGTTATTTATAAATTGGCCCTGCACTGCACTGAAATTATGCTATTCGTTATTTCAGGGCCAATTTAGAAATAACGATAATCGTTATTTTGGTGTCGAGATCAAGCTGCGGCCGGCTGTCGCCAGCCAACGCCCCCTCCAGCCTCCCTATGTTCATTACAACCAGCTTGGATGAGGAATCAACGACAAACAGTCCGAATAAAGAAATAAATGAATAGGGTAAATGAAGATAACAAATAACAAACACATATAACAAAGAAATAGGTCTGTTTAAAATGACAACTATGATTCGCAAAAATAGAGACAAAACACAACAAGATCTTGTCAGGGATTCGCAGAAATTTTTATTTGTCCCGCACCTGTGAGAAAAAAAAAAAAGGACAAATAGGAGATAAGATTTCCTTTATCTTACGACTAGACTCAGTATACACCATCGTTCCAAATCTACTTACTAACATGATGCCTTTGCCACGTGCGATTTTACACAATGCGCTAACTCATTCACTTTCGAGTATAGAGATAAAGTACTTTAATTAGGGTGGAAACGGTATGACTGGGGTTCGATTCCTATCAGGTAACAAAAATTTGTTCTTTTTCCAGAGCTTGTGATAGAATTAGTAATATCGCGTATATCTATCTCAAATTTTCACATGTCCAGGCTGTTCCCATGTCGATGATGCAGCAACTTTTGTTTTCTTACAGCTGCGATGAAACAGTGACGTTATAGCTATTATTGCTTAGAGTGCGTTCATCCTATTTGGTTTCTAAAGTGAAATTCAAGAACCTAAACTCGTGACCGAAATTCCTCAAGTCTTGTGACTTCCGCTCAGGTCTTGTGACTAATAAATTTAACGTACAGGACATTACCGCAGACTCTGTTGTAGCAGCTCGCGCTTTGTTAGCCTCAAAAGAATTCTAATTCTCCGAAATCGGGATCTCTGCTTCCCATGGCGGTTCTGTTTGTGACTCTGGTGGCGCTGTTCATCTCATGTCAGGCGAAATATCTGCACGAACCACTCAAGGTAGAAGAGATTGATTACATCAACACGTACGCAACTTGGAAAGCAGATCCAGATTACGCTGGTTACGATGCTGAGTATTTCAAGCGTTTATGCGGCGTCCCGCTAGATGATCAGATCAAACCGAAGCCATTAAAGCTGGGGATCTTGGCAGGTTAGTTATTCAACATGAACGCCGTCATAAGAGGTAAGATCATTCTGGAGCGTTCGCAAGGACCTGTAAATTCGGCTTATTCTGTTATGCGAAACAAAACGAAACGAAACGAAACCAGGCGAGATATAACGAAACTGAAGGGATAAGACATATTTTCCATTAAGGTAAAGATAACTTTCACAAGGTTTTTGGAGTAATCGTCAATCGATAAGAAGGATTTTGAGGTGATCGCGTTCTTTTTGTATACTGTAGTCAAAGTTGGCTGTGCATGTTGACTTTTACAAAAAATGTATAAGTTAGACAACCCTGCTTCATGGGAACTACTAAGTTTTTAGGGTGGGTAACCTAAGAAGCCAGCAAATTGTGCTCGAGGGAAAATCTCGAGGGAAAATCTCGAATGAAAATCTCGAATGAAAATCTCAAGGGAAAATCTCGAGGGAAAATCTCGAGGGGAAATCTCGAGGGGAAATCTTGAGTTGAAATCTTGAGTTTCTGCGTTTTGATGTGGGAAAATTTCCAGAAAGAATATTGTAAAGCTTACTGCAAAAGAAAAAAAGGTTTTTCATCAAAGTTTTGCCATACACAATTCCTATGGTATTTGCATTGTCATGGTTACAGAAAATCTCGTGATCTAGAAAGCAGTTAGTTGAATTGGTTACAGTTATGTAGGATGTGACATCACTGCATTGGAGCCATACTTTCTTGTTAATGCAGTAAAACACTCCCCAAAAGTGACTTTTAAGAGGGGTCAGGTCAAATTGATTGTGACGCAATCAAAATCCTCTGACCTCCTCACTTAGGCAATAAATGATGACCATTTTCTTTCTTTTGTTTTCGTGTGACATTTGTTGTTTGCATCCTTAGTGAAGACAGATTATGATATCATTGAGCAAGAGATACCATCCACATTTGACTCCAGGGAACAATGGTCTGATTGTCCATCAACAAATGAAATCCGGGACCAAGGTGCTTGTGGAAGTTGCTGGGTCAGTTTGCCATTTTGAACTCTACTGTTATGTTTGAGACTATAACATTTTGCTCAATAAGAAAGGGTTTTCTCATAAAACCTCATCCAATTTAGTCCTGTGATTAATATTACTTTTATAACTTTCTTTGGTAAATAATTCTTACAACAGCTAGCTCTCTGCCTCTGACTTTGAAGTGTTTAAGAGTTGCTGATCTTGCAGAAAATAATTTTTTCATTTTTTCTTGTCTAGGCATTTGGAGCTGTGGAGGCTATGACAGACAGAATCTGTATTAAGTCAAATGGAAAACTGACACCTCACATTTCTGCTGAAGATTTGCTTTCCTGCTGTTCATCTTGTGGAATGGGGTGGGTGGCCGTGGGAATTTCCCTCTAATCCTTTAAACCCCAGATCAAATTTGTAATTCTCCTTACTGTCAACCATACAATTCTTATATTGTTAGTTCAGAGAATTTAGTATCAGATCAACTAATTATTCCCAAATCAAGATTTTTCGTTATTCTCATCACTTATCTGGTTGATATTGTATTGATATTGTAAGGAAAATTCTGTGTTGGTCACTCATGGGAGTTAAAGGGTTAATATGGAGGTTGTCTTTTTAGTTTTGATGGTCATTTTTGGCCTGTTAACTCAAAATATCTGATTGAGAATTCTCCCCTCTTGCTGCTACATATATCCTTGTGAATAAGTTTTAAGAGTTTGGTGTTACATTAAGATAACAACTTCATTGCCTGTTTGCTGGATGGATATTTTAGAGAGAAGTCACATGGGAGCTTTAAGAGTTAAGAAGCCTGAAAAAGAAAAGGGAAAAAAAAAAGGAAAAATGATCTTAATAAAGGCATAGTAACCCTATAATAATTCAGAATCCTATAATCATTAACTTTTTGTTAAAATAATAGAAACCATGTCTTTATACAAATTATTACCATTGTCATCATAATTTTTGTCCTTATTATTATTATTATTATTATTATTATTATTATTTGTTATTAATTTATTTCAGATGCAATGGAGGATTCCCTGAAGCTGCATGGTAATTATAGTACACATTAAATTAGATATTGATTAATTTTATCAGTAAGTGCCAGGTTTTAAACTTAAATTCTCCAAACCATCATCCATACATTGCTTATGATTTCAGCTATTTTAGCTTGAAAATTTAGATTTCAGTAATATAACACAGAATTAATTCTGAAGCTTAAATTTTCAGAAATTTTCCCCACATATTTTACTCTAAGAAAGCAGATAATCTTGTATTCATTTAAATATGTAGAAGTCTGTTTTGGTATTTCATTGGATGGGTTGGTTCCAATCTATTGATGTTTCATTAGCATTATCATGAATTGGTTCATGCAAGTACACTGGTGGACAAGAAAAATTTAGTAATGGTCAATTTTTTATTACCTGGGAAGGGCTGGATGGTTTAGGTCATGTCACAGTGTCACAGAAGAATTTACCTGATTTTCCCCTCCCCCCTCCACCTCCCACAAGGCTAATGATTCTCCCTCATTGGCAATCAGTTTCTATGGTTTCCCTTTATGTTCTGTTAGTGACAACTGACCCACCTCTATCTTCTCTGAAAACCATATTATGCCTCCTAAATTATCCACCCTCCCTCCCAAGTAAATAATAATGACTGTCCCTAAAACAAGATTTTTTCTCTTTTTTTCAGGGAGTACTGGAAAAGTAGAGGTTTAGTCACAGGAGGACAGTACGACTCCCATAAAGGATGTCAGCCATACTTGGTGAAAGCTTGTGATCACCATGTTGTGGGAAAACTGCAACCTTGCAGCAAAACAATTGTTCCTACACCTAGATGTGAAAAGAAGTGTGAACCAGGCAAGATCACTACTTAAAAAATGAGGAACAAATGTTGCTTAAAACCTGTGTAAAAACATAAAAATGACAAGAGGTGTTCCTTCCACATATATATTAACTTTACAAAGAGAGAGTACTGATCCATTTCCTTGTGCATCTTTTAGTTCTATTCTATAGTAATTGTCTTTTTTTTTTTTTTTAAATTTTTTAATTATTTATTTATATTTTAAAACATGATACTTACATTCACTACATTAAGGTTCCTTTCTCAGGACTCTCTAGGTACATTGCGTTACACTATACTTACATTACTCTTAAGAGACAATTAATATTTATTCTACTTAGATTGTTCTACTTATGTGATAATGCACACATAGTTAGAAGGATATCATTTACATTTACACACACACACAAAAGAGAAACTTCAGACCACCCCTGATGAAGGTACTAGACAAGAGTGTCGAAATGTTGGGTCTATGTATTGTAACTTCTTCGGTTACATTCATTAAATCTGTAAACCAGAGTAGCATCAAACTATGTCTAAGAGAAACTTATTCACAAAAAATTAACAGCTATGAAAGACAAAAAGGCTAAATTGTGGGTGGGATTGATAAGAGTAAGACCTTGAAAAAAAAATTGTCTTGTGAGCCTTTTTTTCTTATTATTTGATGTTTTATTGAACAGGTTATAATGTTAGTTATGAAGATGACAAGAGGTATGGAGAGAGTTCTTACACTGTGAGCAGTGAAATGGAACAGATTCAAAAGGAAATCATGACAAATGGCCCTGTAGAGGGAGCCTTCACTGTGTATTCTGATTTCCCTTCTTACAAGAGTGGTGAGCACTTTCAGCTATGTTGAGACAATGCATTCCTTCACTCATTTTCTTAGGTATTGATGTCACATGTTGTTAAACCTGCCCCATAAAGTTGCCACTTGTACCAGGAGGAGAGATATATAACCTCCACTCGCAGACACATTTGTTGGGACACTTAATGTCTTCCCTGCTTCTTTCAATTTCGGTCTGCAAGATGGCATAGACACAGTGGTATTTGATGATATGGGAAAGGAGAGAGGGCCAAAAGAACATCATAAAGACATTCTGGAGAAGTGTCCTGACTAATTATATCTGGGAGTGTTGCTAGGAGGCTCTCAATAATCAGGCTCTGTCAAGCTTCACCTAGCTCTCTCTCCAGTTTTTAAGAACTTTTTCACTCACCTATGAGATAATATAAAGCTTAAACTGTTGTTCATCCATTTAATTAGCTCTGAGATGATGCATTTATGTACTGAAAGACTAATAGGACTTTTTTAAAAGAACAAACAAACAAACAAACTAAAAACTAACTCTTTTCTTAAGTGCGCCATTGATTGGAAAGCACACTGTTACTCAATATGAATTGTTTGTGTCATTTTTATTATCATGATCACATAATCACTATAATCATGATCTTTGTCATTATCTGTATTGTAAATATGTCAATTTTACTTTACAATGTCTCATTGGTTTTTGTGTATTTGACGTGTCCTTTTAAGTAATTACCAGTGTGATTTAATTCTCCTGTAGGTGTTTATCAACATACAACAGGAGAGCCCCTTGGTGGCCATGCTATAAAGATCCTAGGCTGGGGTACAGAGAATGACACACCTTATTGGTAAGAGTAATTTTATATCACTGATTTTTAGGTTAAAATACCATGTTGAAAAGAGGTTTGCCTGAAGACAATAGACTCAAAGTGTGACTGTGATGGCCTTAAACTGCAAACCACAGAAATTGGATGTCTCCTCCTCTGATTTTCTATGTTGGTTCAAATTTGCGAATGAAATTAAAACATCTGTAGTTATTTTATTTCCCATTTTTCTGCAAAATAATTCACACTGGAGCAACTTCAGGGCCAATGTTTGCTATTGGACATCACTCTTAATTTTTTGTAACTTAACAGTCAAGTTTGGTTGAAGTTAATGTTTTAGGTCAACTTCATTCTAGATTGCTTATTGTCAGCTCCAGGAGGTTTCTTTAACCCTTTAACTCCCAAGATCTGATTCTTAATTCTCCCCTCTAGCTGCTAACATTTCCTCATAAATTAGTTATGAGAACTTGGTGTTATAGCAGCTTCTCCCTGATAAGTTTGAATATTCTTATTACCTGTTTACAGAAAATGTATGGATATTATAGGGAGAAGTTTCAAGTTAATCACTTGTGTGAGTTACGGGTTAAAAGCTGGTTACTGCCAGTCGACCACCACCTTCAAGACCTCCTACTACCATCTGTTTAGCCTGCAAGCAGGCTCTTGCATTTGAATTTCACCTTCAGTCCTTTTTTTGCACACAGCTGCTAATCACAGCATTGGCAGCTGCTTATGACAAAACTGATCAAAACCTCTGCAGCTTCAACTCTGTTTTATTACTGGTAGCTACATTCTGGCATACTTATTGTTATAGCTCTACTCAAGAGCTACGTGTCTTTTAACTTCCAAGTAAGAACAACTTCAAGTCATCCAAATATAATTAATGGTTAAACTCAACCATAAAATACCACTTGGGACTTTGGCACATGAAATTTGAAGGGGAAACAGATCTTTTAAGAATTTTTTTTCCTACAATTAGGCTTGTGGCCAATTCCTGGAATACAGACTGGGGAGACAAAGGTAATTGAATGTATAAAAGATTGTTAGCCTTGATGGGTCAATAAATGCAAGACTTGGACATTCCCATCCCCAACTCCCCCCCTCCCAGGCAACCTCACAGGCATTTGACTTTTTTATTGTCCCCCAAGGTAGAGAATTTTTACCTCGCCTGTTTGGGTGGGGAATTTGAACTGGGAGTGTCAAGCCTTTCTGGTGGAATCATCCCCTTTGTTCTCGTGACCTCACGGTGTGATTCAGGGGTGATATTGTGAGGAGAAATTAGGTACTAGTTACTCTTAGGGATCAAAGAGTTACAGGTGAACCCATATATTTTACAGCATACAGCTAAGAGCCTAAGCTATTATTATCATCTAGGAGAAGTCAAAGATCATGAGCCCTTTTTTCTATTTTTCATTGCTCCAAACAGGATACTTTAAGATTCTGCGAGGCAAAGATGAATGCGGTATTGAGTCTGGTATTGTGGCTGGCATGCCAAAAATAGCAGATGGAGCCCCGAAGAATGTGCTTTTTTAAACTACAACCTATAACCTGATGATTAAAGAATAGATTTTGTAGTTGCTATGCCTTGAATTAAAACATAATTTCATAACAGTGTTTCTTTAAGTCATTTTTCAAGAGAATTCATTACTGATAAATAAAATATCCTGCATAAATTTAGAATAATGCTGGTAAGGCAAGCATAAACTTTCAGGTGGTTGACCAGTAGAGTTGTAACAACTAAAAAAAAATTAACAAATATTACAATTGTACCTTGCATCAAAATAATTTTGGTCAAGAATGGAAAATAAAAATAATTGGAAAATGAATGACAAGCAGTCTACAGCTGAATCTTTGCACTACCAACACTGACAGGATAGAGTGTAGCATTTGTATTAGGAAGGCGTCTGTTTTCAAAAAGTTCTCCAAATTACATCACTTTTAACCTTTTACACTCTAACACCAGTATGCATATTCTCCATACTGTTCTCTAAACATTTCTAAGGTGCTGACTAGGAGAATTTGTCTAACAATCAAGAGCTTCTTTAGTTGGTGATCAGTTCCTTTATTCTCATGGCCTTCAGTTTTAATTTAGGGGTAATATTGGGGAAAATTAACCTCACTGTGATGGACTGACCATCCATCCAGGGGAGAGATCTGGGTTCAAGACCTGGCCAGTTCATTGTGATGTGTTCTTGGGCAAAAAATTGTCCCTTCATGCTATGGAAACCAGGATAAGCTCCAGCTGGATGGGCCCCTTGGCTCAAGTTCAGAGTATACATTTTTTTGCTGTCAGTTTTTAAATGTCTAGTAACAAATAATACAAACATTTAGTAGTACACACAATCAAAATTCAATTCAATTCATTCACAACAGTACTGACAGTCGTAAAATGGAGCAAAACAATTTACATAGTGCCGCAGTTACAAGTAAGAAAGTAAAACTATACTTCAATTTTTAAAATATTATTTTTAAAGTTTTCAATTTCAGTCTACTGTACGTGTATTTATGGATTAAACAAGATTGTAACTCCTTTGTTAAGTTCTCATTCTTTAATTCTTGCAGTCAAAGTTTTGCAATGGAAAGTCTGCAGAGTGTTAGAAATCTGAATATTGTTAAAATGTCATTCCACAACTTGAGGAAAAGGCTAATTTTTTAAATTATCAGCACTAATTCCCAGCACAATTTTATTTCAAGCATATCGTTAAGACATACAGTTCTTGATGTCCAGTATACTTGCCCAGATAGAGATGGGCATGCCTTATGTTCTACCAGGTACAGATGTACATCTCTTTTTTTTGTGAGACACCTCTACACAACAGTGTATTAATCTACCACAAAGTGGAGATGTTTGAGAAGCAATTTTCATCAATTGTAATGGAAGAGTCAAGGCATACATCTGCCCTGTGAGTAATTTCTAAAACCAATCATTCCAACTAAGTGCTTGTCTTGTTAAAAAAGTAATCAAAGTCGTATGGCTCTTCATTCTTTCTCCCTCCAATGGAAAGTTCATGTTTCTCATAAGCTTGAACCTAGAAAGAGAATTGAGAAATCATTTGTGAGAGAACTTTGACAGCTGAAGACTGAAAACTTGGATTCAGAGGGTGAGAGTCAAGGTCTCAAAGAGAGTTTTTACCTGGGAAAGAAAACCTTGTTCTGTGCTGGGTGTGATGTCCAATTGTGAGACCTTATTAAACAAGTCGTGAGCTGGTAGAACATCTGGAACTTGGCACTTGGTGAAGAACTCAACAACATTTGTGCAGTCTCTATAGAGAAACTCCAAGGCATGGGGGTGCATTGGTTCTACCGACTGACTGACATCAATAAACCAGACTTTGTCTTCGTGCCACAACATGTTATATTCACTTAAATCAGCATGAATCAGCTTGCATTTCTGGTACATTGTACACATCATCTGCAATATCACAACATTATCTCTTCAATCAAAATATATATTTATCAAGTTTTTGTTCTAGTAGAGCCTAACTGCCACAGGCCACTGGATTTTGTCTTTGAGCAATTAAATTGTATTTTACACAATTTTGGAGTACTTAAGTACAAAACTAATATGGCTTTCCAGAGATTTCATTAAAATGACTGGGGTTTCTTTTTCATTTCTTCTTACATTTTTATTTCCATCTAATATTATAAGGTTGAGAAATGAATTCATGTGCAGCAGTTTCTGAACAACTGTGAATATATGACTATCATACTGTACCTGAACACACTGTTGGTAAGCCTGTTGTAATTGGCGTGGAGACAGAACTGCATCTTTCAGTTTAGGTGCAGGTTGTTGATTCTTGCCAATAAAACTCATGATTAGTATATGTTTCTTCAGGAGTGCCACTGATGGACATGGAATACCAGCTTTCTTCATTCTGAATTAAAAACAATTCCCAATTAGTGCCTACATCAGTGAGAGACTGGTGGCTAAGTGTGTTAGTAGGCTGGATTCCTTATCAAATGGAGAAGTTTGTATCCATGATTTTCTTCTTTTCTTGGCCAAGACACAATCAACTCCACCGTACCTACAATGTTTTACCTTTCAGGTATATAAATGAGTACTGGCACACTGTCGCAAATACATGACAAATTCCTGTGGGGCTTGCAATAAGGACTAGCATCCATGCCCATGGGAAGGGGAAAAGAGGAGATTTACAGTCCGAGTAACTTAAGTGCCAGAAGCTGGGAAGTCAAAACATATAAGACATAGCCTTTGAAACATTGCCACTACTTTTCAAAATTATGTTTCAATGTTGTTATTTCAACAACCACCCAAAAACCAATTATTTGAAATTCAAATCCTTTTGTCAGCTAAGTTATTACAGGTGCACTATGGCATTATGTGAAGTTGCAGTAGCTCATGTCCAAGTCCTTTTAATTAATAATGTCCACCATTGTACACTAATATGTAGATATATGAGTAGCACAAGTCAATGCTGGCCAAATCCTTGGATCTTGAGTTCACTGGAAGAGAGTTTCTTTTAATGGAACCTATTAATAGTGACTATGAAGATGGATACTTGAAAGTAAAAAAATTGTAATAAATTGAGCAATAACAAACGTATAGAGAAAGATGTTTTTCACTTATCAGGAGCATGGGACAAAGAAAAATTCTGAGTTCTCATGAGGAATCGAACCTCAGACCTTGGGATTCTGCACTCCAATGCTCTACCACTGAGCCACAGAGATTTGATGGTGAGGGAGGCCCATTACAAAGTTCATTAATGACACACGCCTTGCATACTGCTACGATTAGCAATGTTGACGGCACTTCAAACAAACATATACACAACACACCTGCTCAAATTGCACATTTCCTTCTCTGCCCATAGCTTGATGATTTTTCTGGGATTCTGCTTACTGAAGCGATCTTTAAAACGATGATCGTCTTTGATGTACCGATCTCTGGTCTTGAATTCATTCAAAGTTGTTTTGAACACTTTGACAGCACATTCTTCTGGCATTGGTTCCTCCTCTCTCCTGTTCATTTAAAAAACAAAAATTCTTTTAATCAAGGACATCTCTTTTCCAGTAACAAAAAGATAATATTAATCATTTAAGTTACTAATTTGACCACTTGCCTCAATGGGCATTTCCAGTGATAATGTCAACAAATAAATAAAATTAAACATTTTTAAATTAACACAAATTTGCCAAAAATCCCATCTGGCTGGAGGTGACTTGACAATTAATAGAGCACAGTCAACAAGAAAGCAGGCCACCAAGAACAAATTTGGTGAGTGGTATTATAGAGTGCTTTATACCACAACCACCAGACTACAATGATCCCCTAAAATCAGTATACATAATCTCCATACTTTTCCAAACATTTCTTAATGTTCTGAAAAGGGGAATTTGTTTAATAATCAAAAGCTTCTTTAGTTTTGATCATTTCCTTTATTCCCATGACCTTTATGTTTTATTCAGGGTTGATCTTGTAAGGAGAAATTGGATGCCAATCACTCTTTGGGGTTAAAGGGTTAAAAGCTAGCATATTTTTTTCCCACTACCCTTAAAATTTTACTTCAGTAAATTTTGAAATGAGCCTGAAGATCTCTTCCAGCAGAGCATTTTGATATCTTATCAGGTCACACTTCTCTTCCAATCAAAATTTTCAATACAATTGTGTCCCTGAGTTCTTGCCCTTACTAGGCTAGCTTGAAGACTTGGAACCGTAATTACATTCTACTTGATTACTAAGTATTACAGAATGATACAATTTCTCCCTCAAAATTCACCCTTCAGAGGATTGTCTTTTTCCAAAACTTTGACTCAAAAATTCCATATCTCCAAAACAGAAAATGTTTTCTCCTTTCATTTAAAACCCTTCCAATGCATTTAACTACAGCTGGTACAAACCTTCCACCATTAGCATGAAACACACAAGCCTCTTTTCCTGTACTGACACAACCATTTACAGCCTCCAGAACTTCTCCATTCACCAGTTTGTACAACATCAGCCTTGTTTTGGGGTCTAAAACTTGCTCCTAAAACAAACAATCAATATAATGCAACTGTTACATGTCACATAATTATCTTACCAAACATACTTAATAGTACATTTTTTGAAAAATATATTTGTTTCTTATTCATACCCAGATACAGTTGCAATAAGCAAGGTGACTCAAAATTGGTTTGTTTCATTTGTTAATTCTTTAACTCCATCAAGTAGTTCCCTGTTAGATCACAACTACCATGCTTTTTAGTGTCTTTTTTCAAAGGTGGTGTAAAGAGTAGCCCAGTTTTTCTCAAGTAGTTGTGATCATATGACTTTTCTATAATTTTACAAGGCTCTGAACCTGCCAAAGAGCTTTTTCAAAACTTCACTGAAAAATGAGTTTTTAAGTCCCTAGTGCAATTCAAAGTTGAAAAATGAGTTTTTACATGCCTAGTGCAAGTTGGAAAAGGAGTCCAAATAAAAAGCTAGAGAGGTTTCCCAAGTGTTTTCTCTATTAATTAAGGGCTTCCATCTGAAGGTCCTTTGGTTTACATGTTTTAAGGGGGAGGAGGCTCTTGGCATAATGCCCTGGGGGTGAGGTGGTGAAAGTAAGAATGAACAATTTAAGCTTTCATGTATTTTGAGACTCAAGGTAATCATTAAAGTCAAACAGGAATATCATAGCCTACATGTGTTGAATGTTCCTTCTTCTCGTGGAGACGTGCACTCTGACGCTCTTCACGGTAAGAATGTTGTTTCAAAGTGTTGAACACTCCATTAGAAAGCTTGAGATCCAGTCCTGCACTGCCAATATCACCAGCAGCAAAACTTGGTGGAAACTGTGAGGGTAACCACAACAGAATACTCAATGGAAACAGTTCTTTTATGAATGCTCCTTCACCTCACTACTTAACAATATTATATTGGCAAACGTTTCCCCTAAATTCCTATGAAAAATAAAAAAAATATGGTAAAAGGAGCTCTTACTTTGAATTAGATCTCACCTTTTCCATGATCTTTACATTACGACGACCACACACTGTTGAATCATGTTTGGTGATTATTTCCTTTTTATTATTGCCAGAAGATTGTTTGGTCTGAGGCTTTGGATGCCTATGAGGAGGATCTGTTGAGAAAACCACAGTCACACATTTTATTCAAATATAACATGCCAAACTTTCTGAACTGCGACATTACTTTCTTGCCTATACTTTTTGTATGTAAGCTCTCATTTAAGTGCTAAACTAAAAGAAAGTTATTTCAGGGGCTCAGTGATCAATAACTAAACATTGCCAAATATTTTTTTTTAACAATGTTTTTTAAAAAGAATGGTTTGAACTTGACAATAAGAGTGAGTCATCTGGTGTTATCATCCAGGTAAGAGTAGTTAAGACTGAAATTTCAATTGTCATTATCAGTCAGAGTTTGTTAATCAAATGGTATAGATTTTGTTCATGATACAGCCACATAAGCTGCAATATATAATTTTAATCACAGTGACCATGATTAGAAAACCATTTAGACCATTAAAGTTGCTGAGAAGGTCACCAATATGGAAAAGCTTAATAAAATTTAGGGTCAATTCTGCCTTAATTTTAGGAAACTTATTGGCCAATATAACCACAACATCAGTGACTGTACGGTTGAATTAGAATTTATCAGGTCAGTTTAACCCTTAACCCCTAGGAGTGATAGCCATTTAATTTCTCTTCACTGTTTTAATCCTGAATAACATAAAGGTCACTAACATTCAGGAAATAATTCCAAACTCAAGAAGCTCTTGATTGTTACACAAATTCTCATTCCAAGGACTAAATCTATCATATATCTCATTCTAAGGCCTAAATCTATCAGTCAAGTTAGCTCACACTGTCCAGGTTAGTGATGACCTCTTACATGTACATGTTTGATGATGTTACTGCCAGAAAATAAAGGAATTAAAGGAGAGAGGAATTTTACAGATTATAACTTAAGAGTGTAGAAAACAGCTAGGAACAATCAACTTGATGTAACTACCTAATTCCTCTTCATTCCACTCATCTGAATCTGAAGAGCTGGAATCTTCCTTCAAGATTGGATGAACATTGCGGAAATTGTCAAAGGATACAGACACTGAAAACAATTAACATGAAACAAGTTATGATACAGGAAAAGGTACAAATCACTGTGAATAAAGGAATTCATAAGTGTTGACTCATGATAACCTCCAACTAACTTAAAAAGTTTTTTTACGATTACTTTTATTTTTACCATCAACAATAATTCAAACAGCTCTAAATATCTTAGACCTCTGAAAGTTTGAGTGAGCCCAAGTTATGTGTACTGGCTAACCCAGAAAAGATTACTTGTCATAAGTACACACATAACTACAGCTAGAGAGGGTCTGACCCAGAGAAAATTCTACGCAAAACCAAAACCCTTGCAATTTCAAACTTTGGTGCGATGTTTTACAAGATAATTTGGTATCTTCACCTGAGTTGATAATATAAATTGGCCATCGCAAAGAGTTTCTAAAGCTGATGTTCCAAGGATTAGCCCATCATTGGAGCCCTTTGTTTTGCTCCTCTAAACCCTGAAACAGCTTTAGAAACCCTATACCATGGCTAATTTACATTGTCAACTCTGTCAATTGATAAAACTGAATTACCTGATAGCCTAAAGGGCTTCTGAGGTTTATCCCCAGGAACTTTATAATGATGACGACTGTTTTATGTGAAATAATTTCAATAAAGAATTGCAACACGGCATAAATTTACACTTACCACCAGTTCTAATTTTTATACCTTTACTTTCCCCATTGTATCTCTTTTCCATTGAATCAATTGTGCGATCATACTCTTTATCATACTCAAGTTGCATCATTTGGGCCAAGAGAAAATCATTTTCAGTGTCTGGACTTGTTCCTCCTAGAAAAAAAAAACAATATTTTATCGCATAATTTAGAATTACACTCAACAAAACATTGTGAGGAAATATCATCTAAGTCACTTTTAATTATTAATCTCTTTACATGTCCTGAGCTGCTGGCAAGGAAAATTTGTCCAATAATCATACGCTGCTCTAGTTGGTAATCACTTTCTCTATCCTTATGGTCAATAATGTTTGGTTCAGGCATGATGGTGTTAGAAGAAATTAGATGCTAGTCACTCTAGATAAGGCTTTAAAGGCTTGATAGTAGAATAAACACTTGTATTCAAAATTATGAATGCTAAATAAGCTTATTTCATTAAACTGATTGTCTTCCCTGTCAAGGAATTAACTGTTTGATGCCTTTGAGTGACTACCATCTAATCACTCCTGATGATATCACCCCTGAATCATATACATGTACATTAATATCATGAAAATAAAGGAAATGATCACCAACTACAGAAGCTCTTGATTGTTAGACAAATTCTCTTTGTCAACACCTTAGGAAATGTCTAAGGAGCAGAATGGAGAATATGCATACTGACATCAGTGTGGAAAGGCTTAAGCATTGATTGTTAGCATTTATTAAAGTCAACACAATGATGTTGCAAAGGTAATAAAATGCATTACTACTTTCAAAAATTCAAAAATAACACAAAAAAACAGTAACACATTGTTTGATGAGGTGATTGAAGTGTGAAGCAAATGTCATATTGGGGTGACAGCAGATTGCTCACTTAAAACCGAAACTACTAGAAAATCATGTTCAACATATACTTTAAGATTTGTCACACTGGGATTTCTGGAACGTCAAGCAAATGCCATACTTGGGTCACAGCAGATTGCTCACACAAGACTGAAACTGCTAGGAAATCATGTTCCATGTAAAAAAACGGATCACCACAGATTCAACATTCGCATGGAATAAAGAGAGGAAGTATGAGTGCAGAGGGATTCTCAGTAAGTGAATGTCACATGAAGACAATCCTATTTTTCCCATATCCTAAAGATTCACCCTCAATGTTAGTTCATCACCTTCAAACGTGTTAGCAGATGAAGCTTTGTCTACTTGAAGATGATATCCAGCCAAGTAATCCTCTTTAGCTTGAAGTTCCTTGGCGATTTCTTCATCCATAACCGAAGCCAAGGAACACGGTGCCACAGGAGGACTTTTTCCCCATGGACTCAGTTTTTTCGATGATGTATCACCAACAGAATTATTTACAACGATATTTTCCGATACTTCCATAATTTAAAATAGCCTTATTTACAATTCTGTATAAATATATCCGAATTCAAAAATATTACTTTGGAAATTTATCTGTACACGTTTGGAATTTCTATTAAACACCGGAACACGAAGCACCAAATTGGGAAAATTAAATAGTATTGTTTCGGGCGATAAAAATTTTATCTCACTAGACGTACCTTCAAAATTGAACCGTAAGGTATTAAAAACCCCTAAACAAACCTGGTTTCTTTGAAATGTGGTGAAAAAATAAGAGAGTAGGTTGTTTATGTGGTTGAATGGGATTGCAAAGATTTGGAAAGTTGTGATGCAATAGTTGCGCATGGCATTTGAAGTTTAATTACTGACCAGGCCACAGGGTCGATTACGAGCCGCTGTTCGGGAAATGAGTCTCTGCTTATGCCCACGAATTCACGGCCGTTCACAGCCGCTCCCTCTTCGGAAGAAGGGCAGAAATATTGGGCCTAACTTTTCCTTCTGATTTAACATAAATCCACTTTTAAATAAACAGACTCTTAAAGTGTTCCTCAAACAAGCAAAAGTTTGAGCTCGAGAGGGTCCTAAGGGGCGGGGTGATGGCACTTACGGCTAACAGTTGAAATGTTGGCCATTTTACGTCTAGCGGTTAATTTGTTTTCATGACGGTCAAGAAAAAAATCTGAACGGTTAACTTTATTAACGACTGACGGTTAAAATTTGTTAATTTTTACGCCCATCGGCTAGTTTGTTTGTTTGTTTGTTTGTTTGTTTTTGTCGTTTTACGGCTAATGTTTAACCCTATTGAGAGACTCGATAGGACGAAACTCAATCAATATATGATTGGCAGATCTGTTTTTCTTCTGTTATTTAGTCGCTAACTTTCTCTTTGGAATACGATTGGTCTATAAAACTAACTCTATGCGACACAGTGATAATCAGGTTTAATTTTAATATAGTTACAGTATTACCCCAGAATCAAACATTAAGGTCAGGAGAATAAAAGAAATCGGTTTACCAACTAAAGAAGCTCTTAATTGTTTGACAAATTCTCCTTATAAACACCACATGAAATATGTAGAGAAAAGTATGAAGAATCTGCACACTGATGTTAGGATGTAAAGGGTTAAAAGGAAATTCCTGATTATCGCATAATAAAAATTTTGAGCTAACTCCATGGCTCGTGAACCGGGTCTAAGGGCAAACCGTAGAAGCTGAGTGAAAATTTTGGTCACTATCTTCATTTACCTAAAAACGTTTTAAAAAGATGAAAAAAAAAATTCAAACTTCTTTGTGCTTCTAAACAATTTTCTTTTCTCTTTTTGCTAGGCGATGCTTAATTTTTGGGGGTACGAATCAGAAACACGCACACTTTTCCCGTGGGTAGTTTACTTACCAAGGTATAATATTTTTTCTATCATTTCTTCAGCTGTTCTCAATCAGTGTGATTCAAATGATAGCGTGCGAGCAGGCCCCATTATGACACGAGCGCTTCCAGTCACGCCCGTAAGGATGTGTGAGGCTTTACACAACTCACTGGCGAGAGGTCTGCCAGGGGTCTTATTAGTGCCAGACCCTCAGCAAACTACCCTCCGACTAGTCTCAAATCTTCCCACGGGTGGAAAAAACATACGTCTTATGGGGTTAATAACAAGGGCCTATTCGCAAACTATTGATCATGAAATAAACACACTGCACCTTTCAATGTATGATTGCTCGTGCAATCATATAATATTCGTCCAAACCTCACCAACAACAAAGTGCTTGTCTGACTGTCTGCTTCACTGCTTGTCTCACCTCACTAATCTTCCAGCAATAAAGGAGAGGGTTTAAAGAAGTTTAAAAAAAAACTAAAACAAATGCAGTTCCTCTGATTGCATTGAGAAGTGATGAATATGTTTCACTGTAAATGAACACAATTTCCACCACATAACGAGGTATATAACAAAAAACTAATGCTAACTGCACCCACAGTGCACTGTGCACTGCCTTTCCGTATCGCGCTATGTTCAGTGCATTTGGTTGGCTCGGTTGTTGTTGAACACGTTCTTGCACTTGAGTCTGAAGATGACTAAGAGGGCGGAAAATCTTTGTGTATGAGGCGTTTGAAATAGCTAAGCAAGACGGTATAACTATACACCCATACCAAAAAGTTATACGGTATTCTAGGTGAAAGCATAAACCTGCGACAGTGGATAGAATCTGAAAATCCTCCCACCCTCCCCCCCCCCCTTCCAGGGTGATTAATAGTGACTGGTTCCAAGGTAACTATGCATCCTTTCATCCCGGCAATTTCCCCTAAAATTATCGAGATTTTTCTTTTACTTTCAAAATAAAATTAAAAAATGATAAAAAAAATAAGTGATGTGAAATTTGTTATTATAAATAATGTGATCTTATCTCCATCGACTACCTTTTACGCTAGGAATTCTCCTGGCGTAATAAACGGCTAAGAACCCTAAGGAGTTTGGCAAACCTACCTTCGTGTGTATAAAAGCAGGTATAAGTTATAGCATAAAGGACATACAAAGACATTTATGACATATAATAATTTTACTATGGGGAAAGAAAACCCTTTCTTTGGAGGTGAAATGTTGCAAGAATATAGAATGATGATAAATGTACCTCTAAACTATCTACCTTTTTGTTCATATTTTCTCCTTTTTTTCTGTATGTGCATATCAATTCAAGAAACACTGATACTTACCGTTTTAAAGAGGATATGTTGACAGAAATTTCAACCAGGAAAATTTCATCTGTCGAGGACGAAAGACAATATTATTGCCAGTTAATGTCATCCATCGATTCGATTCTCAATAAGCGGTCTTCGTTTTTCCTGTAGGTTATGTAATCGTGTATAACGAGAGATAATTTCGTCTGAATAGCACCTGCGCGTCCAAGATAACCTAAAACTCACATTCCTAACAGTCTTTGCAAACAAACTTCCTTAAAAACGCCTACTTATTCAAAATTCGAAATGAAATGCTTATTCTGTCACAAGAGAGGCAATTTTCTTCCCAGGTTTCTCTAAAAACGCCTTTCATCAAATAGGCTCTTTATCAATTTCTTTGTAACGGGTAATCGTACTCTAAAAGGTTCTCACGGAAAATTTAAATTTTTCATCAGTTTTACAGCACCGATGAACAATAGAAATATTCCTTCTCCTGCAAATTATCTTTATCTTTGACAATTAAGTGAGGCACGATGTTTATCATAAAGAGTAAATAATTTCTCATCATCTTCTCTTGTTATTACCTGAAAGAGTTGTGCGTCACAATTGATTAAGCTCAATCTTGGAATGAATTTGCAATCAGAAGTAAAAATATAGAAATTTGTGAATTCATCGTCATTTCACAAGACAATTGTAAAGCTATCCGTACTTTAGAATACTATCGTTGATGGGATAATTAAATAAGTGAGTGTTGTTACCAGTTCAGGTTTAACTCCTCAAAGTCCCTAACACTCTAATCAGCTTCGGGAAGGTAGGTTAGATTACAATGATCACGGTGAAACGTGAATCAGTCCAGAAACAACTTGAATGCAAACTGTGCATTTTTTAAATTTAAAGTATAGACAGAGACGACAATTGTTCGAAAACAAAGGTTTAGTGTTTTACATGACAAATCTTTCCTGCAAAATGCTCTCCACTCTTCACGCACATCCGAATGCACTTGAAAGCGGAGACAGTTACTCGACAGGTATGAAGTTTGACGTCACCACATTTAAGTACCCTCTATCGGTACTATCAACTGAGTTGATAACGTAAATTAGCCATCGTAAAGAGTTTCAAAGCTGACGTTACAAGCGTTAGCCCTTCCTCATTAACTCTGACGAGAGGCTAACGCTCGAAACGTCAGCTTTGAAACTCTTTACGGTGGCCAGTTTTCTTTATCAACTCATTTGATGATACTAAATTATCCTGCAATACTCTCCCACTGACACAGCACCACAGTTCTTTAGAAGCTTACCGCTTTCATGCAATGCAATGCCTGGTTTCTTTCGACACTCAATCGTTGCAATGCGCGCCTGACGCGCAGTAAACATCTCACTGCCCCCCTATGTAGAAGCTCGTGCATTAATCACTCTATTCCCTATCTTCTTTTTCATACAAAATACATATAATTCACTTGCTAAATTTGTAAATTAAGAAAAGAAAACAACCAATATGTTATCTAGTAACCAGTGTCAGGCGTTCAGCAAGTAAAACGGTGCAAAATCTGAGCGAAATAGCAAACAGCGCAATAAACTCCTACCCAGACCTTTCATGGCCACGCGGTTGTTTAGTTATACTGTGGAATCTGGGTGCGAAATTAACGGTGCGACAGTAGCGGCAAATTAGTAATATATTACTATATTATATAATAATAATAATAATAATAGCGACAAACGAGGGAAGCCTAGGGGTTAGCTACTATCAAGCCGTTTAATATCGCGCTTCGTTTTACTCCGTGAACGCCTGGAAACGAGGTAATTATCTGGTCAATTCGATTTCTATCGATCTTTGGTTAGAATTACACACACTGTACAAAATCTGATTGCGTAATTTCCACCAATCTAAAGGTAATTCTCGCTATCAGCTGAAGGCTCTTCTTCTTCTTTCCGTTCTAGAATTAAAAAAAATAGGAAAAGAAATAAGCATCTATCTAAATATATATATATATATTATGAGAGGGAAAAAGGGACGCAACTACATTTCCCGACAAGCCTGTTTCGTGAATCGCTTCACTCTTCAGGGGTTTAATGAAGAGTGAAGCGATTCACGAAACAGGCTTGTCGGGAAATGTAGTTGCGTCCCTTTTTCCCTCTCATAATATTTATTCTGCTCTGCTTCAACGTATTGAGCACTGTTCCACGCGACAATCGACTTGCAGACTTCCTATATATATATATATATATATATATAGAGGTAGAAAGAGGAGGTTTTTGGTAAGAAGCAGTAGTGTTACTATAACACATTAGGTTAAAAATGATCGCAACTTGCCAAACAACCACTGCTCACTCATTGGATGATCTTTTCAAGGAAATAAACAAGAAATTGAGGAATCATAGATAATTAAGGAATTGGCGTTTAAGAATTAGAAAAGTGATTTTAATCGTCTTCGGACTATGGTCTAATCTGCTCAGAAACCTTGTCAGATAAAGATAACAAGCCGAGTTGCGATTAACGAATCTTGAAACGTTTAGCCCAAGTTGTTCAACTCCGTTCGATGAGGGCTTACTGATACATTGCATGAGCGTTTATTGACAGGATGAAAACGGGGTGTGTCTTGTCCCATTCTCCTCTCGTCCTACGCTGTTCTCGTCTTCAGCTATTGCCTCATGTCAAAAAAAAAACAACAACAAAAACAACGAAAACAGATCACGATCTGTTTAGGCGCTCTTTGCATTACCTGCATGTACCGGAGTATCGTTCCTTTCATCGTTTTCATTAGGTGCATTAAGAACGCTCCCTTCTCCTGTGTCTTGAGGATTATTTTGTTCTACTGTCTCGGATTCTACAAGAAATAATAAACCAAAATTATGTTCATATAGTCTGTCTCAGTTCTTGATAAAAAGGTGAATTCTCCAGACTGTCGTCAGAGCCTCAATCTGAAAAAAACCAATTGGAATCAATACTTAAAGATCGTCTATCCGCTGAGGGAATCTGGAATCTATATCTGCATGTGTTTGATTTTCCAATTGATGTAATGAAATCTAAATTCAAAACAGACAGACATAAACCTCTAAAAAAACCAACATTTCAGTAAGTTTTCATCGTGACAGGGGACTTTGTTTTGAAGATAAAGTCGGTAAATACTCCCCTATCACATGACATTTGACGTTGCGCGGAACAAAAAAAAACGGACGAGGGAAAAACAATTTCTATGTAGAAAAAAACTAGAAGCCCCCTGCGCAGTCGAAGCAATTTTTGAGGAATGTTTGCTGGTTTGCAGTGTCTATTCTCTGTCTTCATGTCAAAACTAGATATCAGTTGTTTTAATTACTTTCCAATCGCTATACTTGTTTTGAATATATTATACATTTTTGATGACATGATAGTGAAAGCCACCCTCTATCCTTTACTAACCTGTCGTAACATCTTCGGTCCCGTTCTTCTCATTGTCTCCCGGCAAAAAAATCAACCTGAGCCTGTACTGCTCAGTTTCACTACTGAAACCATCCTCTTCTTTTTCCCGCGTACTCTCAGGGGGGGTATCAGGAGACGTTTGTCGCTCCCTGGCGCCATAACCCGTTTTACTGGATGGTCTATAAGCTTCATTTGCATGTGGGTCTGTGGTCCAACCTTTGATCATATGTCTGTGAACATGCGAGGCTTCCTCGCAAGGCGAGCTTGCTGGGCTTGACCTGTTCCGTGGAATCCGCTACGATAAACAGAAAAGTTTCCTGGCTTCAAATCTATCTCAAAGCAAAAGTTAATCGATAGAGCTTATGGTTCCTTATCTTCCTCCACTCCTTAAAAAAAAAAAAAAACAGTTTCTTCACGAGCAAAGTTCCATACAGCCAACTATTCGATGGATGCGTTATTTATTCCTAGAACGACTTGGTCGAGTTCTAAAAACATCGCAAGCGATATATAAAATAAAACTAGCAAGGGGCTCCCCCCCACGACCCCAACAATCCCCGAAAAAAACAAAGCAGCTGTATGAAAACTAGAAACGACAAGGCATGCTTTCTTGACCCCACTTTTGGCTCAATATTGATTGACGCCACGAGATAAATTGTAGGGCCTCAGATATTACAATAATTTAAGTTTAATTAGCTTGAGTGAGTGTATGGTCTTACCTGCTCGTATCTTTTGATAAACTTGGAGTAGCGCTGGTAATCTTTCCACTCTTTCACTCTCTCATGTTCTTTCAGCTCTTTATTTTGAATTCTTCTACTAAATTCATAATCCAGTAGATTCTGATACTGCCTTTGCTTAAGATTCATGAGTTGGGTGACAGAGTAGATCCGAGCCACTCCCCAGATGTATTGCTTCTGTCCCATGCTCAAATCCTCATGTCGGAGAAATTTGTTCGTTCTCACAAAGCTTGGCAGCTCAACCGGCGTTCCGTCGAATCTCGACGGGGTCTTCGGGCGCCCTGCCGAACGTACCCGCTCCCGTTCTTCCTGGCAGAGGTAGACCTTGCTCGGCGGTCGGTTCAACTTCGCTGCAGTGCGTATTCCTTCTCGTTCGTACATGCGAGGTGGCTGACAGGAGGCACTTCGGGAACTGTATGTTACACTGTGGTTGCTAAAAGACGAACCTGAAAAAGAACGTAAGCTATATAGTTTCCCCACTCCTGCCCCCTCCTTCCTAAGCCTCTCCACCACCCCCATGATAAACATTTATTTGTCTTCCCGACTTGCAGTTGCAAAAATGAGAAAGTACCTATAAAAAATCGACTTTAAAACACATCGTAAGGTTCAAAACTTGTTCTCTTAAGAGACCCGTGAGCAGCAGTCCGGTTTACCAATGAAAAGTGACGAAACTAACCTGGCCTGTCATGTGGTCTGTTATCCGGCGCTGGAGGTTTTTCTCTCACTGCGCCTGCGCTAGCTGCCCTCTCAAGACTGTAAAGAAATGGCGGTACATATATTTGAGAGAAGAATTCAGCGTGCTTTTTAAATTAGTGTGATTCATTGAGCGAAAATCAATTTTTAAAAAAATTCAAATTTATCACCGCAAGGTCAAATGAAAACTCGCCATGTTTGTGTCCCTATGGACCTGGCTGATTGGGTCCTTCCTCCGTTAGTTCTCACGGCGCTACCGGCCCGCTGTACTGGAGGTTCAGGTGATAGGGGACTTGATGTGTGCCTGGGAGACTGTCCCTGAGAATATGACGCACTACTGGAGGGTCTTGACTGATACTGTTTGAAAAAAAATAAAAAAATAAAAATAAAAATTAGGATTACAGGCTGTAACCCAAAAGCGAGACCGCACAGAATGAATTCGCGCGACGTTAAGAGGAACCACACGCGAAAGAAGCCTCTCTCGCGCGCGTTTCTGCTCCCACGCGCGCGTATTGGTAACTCTCTTACCGAGCGCCAGCTACCCAGGAGGTCGCCCACAACACTTTCGACAATTCAACAACACATTACAACTAGCTATGAACACAGGATGATCCTCGCGTGGATCATATCCGCAGCATGAACCACGAATCGCGAGCGTGTGCTACGCGCAATGGTAAAAGCGAAATAAAAAGTTGTAAATAATATCCACAACACTAAACTGTACAAAAACAACCAGAGATTAACTGATATCTTCGATATTGACGGCGAGAAGTGTATGAATGAAGGCTGTAACAGATTTGCTAGCTAATCCTGCTTGGATTCGTGCGGTTCAATCGACAATTAGGTTAAATGCATGTTAATAAGCAAACCCAAACGAATATAACCATGGAAATTTCCGCAATGAGGATTCAGCTATCCTTGCGTGGTATTGCGTTACAAGGACTATGTTTGGACTTTTTTGGAGTGATCAGTTGTTCGATTGAGGCTCAATTGTTCAAAGCAACTAATCAGCAAGTAAGCAGAGTTACACCTATGAATACAAAAGGGCCGCAAACAAACACTCAAAATCTTAAAGGAAAACAAAAAACGCAAGCCTTTAAACGGAAAACATCAAAATTTTTAACACAAACTTGAAATAATTTTGCTCAATGTAACGTGCATTACTCAACTTGAAAGCGGTATTTGATGAAAGCGTTGATACAAATGAAAAAGGAAAAAATGACAATGGGAGCCGAAAGATTCAGTGAGCTGCGAATCGAGATAAATATCCACGAAATGGCTGTAACTCGCAGCTGCCTCGACCTTCCATTACCGCAAATGATACTCAGAAACTTTTACCGCAAAAATAAGGCGGTGTTTGCATTTATTTCAATGATCTTCGCGCAGCCTAAGACCTCCAAAGAAGGATAACATGTCGCTGCTTGCATACATCAACTCACAAAAATTACTCTTAACAACAAACAAACAAACATGTTTATACATGACATAAATAACCTTTGAAGAAGATTGTTTGTCATTTTGATCCAAGACAACAGTAATGAGCTCTTCGACCTGTGGCACAGGAACCTGTTTCCATTTCAAAGCTTCTTTCCGAACTGTCATGACTTTTCTCGGTTGTACACGGTATAAAATAGCACGATCCCTCCTGATTATATTCACGTCTAAATTGGCATTCTTTTCTTGTACGACGCATTTCACTGGTGCAAGAGTTTCCCGCATTTTCTTGGCGAAGGCAAAGGTTTAATTATCAACCTGCCAGTGCAAAACGTAGACGGTAACTATGACAGGAGGGCAAATTTGCATCGAGACACTTTACCCATTAATTGCCTCACTCTATCGCGATTTCCATGAGCTTGCTAATGAAAAAGCCAACAGGCTGATGTGAAAGGCCATGCTCGACTTGTGGCACACAAAAGTTTTCACACTCGAGATTTGATTGCAAAATTGAAAAAATTTCCATCACAAAAACAAAAAGCAGAGCTGTTGCCAAGGAGAGAATTGTTGACACTTCGGCGAAAAGAGATCAATTTCACTGTCACCAATACTGTAACAGGAAAACCACTTAAATCCTTAGCAGCTGGTTAACAAAGTCAACAGAATTTTGCTCTGTATGTAAATAAGCCTGCCACGAAATGAATTTCGACGGATACAAAAGATAGCAATCATATTCAATACATTATTGTAATCTTTTCATATTCTTTCCGTTTTAGAATTTATTTACGACTTCGGTGACTTTGAAGAAAGAAGTACCAAATTAAAAATTTAAGAATTCCGCTAGGATGATTATAAAAATGAAGGAATATTATATCTTCAAAAGTTATAATTGCAAAATGCAACATTCACCGGTTTAACCTCTATAATCCGAAAAAGAAACTTAAAAAATTAGTTTAAATGAATATTCAAGAAGAAGACCACGCTTCCTATTCGTTTACCAGCGTAATAAAACACGCGGAATGTTGAGAGAAGACGAGAAAAGTTTGTTAATTACGAGCCTAAGCCGAGTGATTTACACAATTTTCGAGTGGATTGTTACGTCGGTAAACCGATAGAAAGTGGGGAACTCAAAGTGCGGTCTATTGCTCTTATGAAATAAACGCCCATTCAATTTCCTGTTGGTTTTTTTTTTTTGACCAATCAGGGCACTCGTAATATCTCAGTCATGTCAGAAAAACGCACTCCCCATTCTACTCTCGACTCTTCTATCACGCAATCATTGACACAGAAAAACCAATAAGCTGAACAAGAATAAAGGTCCACTTACTCACATGTTCAGAGAATAATCAAGAAAACGCATTTTAACCGCAACGGCTACGACGATACTGGTCAAATTTGGGAAAAAATACTGTGAAACGAGCTTACAGAGTCATCTTTTCAGACTGCTGTCTTTGCAAAGTGAGAAGAAAACCCTAACGGTTTTTTATTTTTAAATCATTTTTGGTCTTTCCCTTTTTTAGTTTCTTTATTTTACTCTTGTCAGAACTTTTGCTACCGTCCACACTTACAACGAGACTACAATAAAAAATACCTTTGATAATAAGACTTCAGAAGCATGATTAAGAATTGACTGATTTAATCTGTAATCTTTGTAAATTCTTACTTTGCGTGGTGAAAGATTTTAAGAAATTCAAAATATTTAGCATACAATGCAGTGGTCAGTGTGCGTGCATCGAGTCACTTCAATTGAGTTTCTTGTAATAAAAGTGTATCAATGTCGAGCTTAAATGGTGCAAAATTTGGAAATAAGACGGACAAATAAAAAATTCTGGGTCAGGAAATGATACTTTCTCAGGGATACTTGCGTAAGTCTTCCATAGTATGTAGTAAAAATCTCTTTCCGCTACTGTACTGAAATTGCCGAAGTGATTGCGAGCAGAACTTATGGACAAACAGCACCACAGCCCTTTGATCGTGGCGGGCTTACCGCGGGACATTCTCGCGTGACCACCTCCGCGTTAGACGCTCTGACCCAAAAAGGTCTCGCGCGCACCTTAGCACCTTTTGTTTCAGTTTGACACCAAGGCTCTCAAATGATTATCTTTGTAATCATAACCATCTCAATTTCCCCAAATGTGATTGGTGCAGTAGGTGCTCTATTTTTCTCTAATCATTCTGTAGAGTTGTAATCGGACAGTGTAATCGGGCAGTTGGCTGTAATCGGACACCAGTTATAGGACAGTTGAAGCAGCCAATCATACTTAGTCCTTTCAGTCAAATCCACCAATCACAGAATTGATCACAATAACCATAGCAACAATTACTTATCCTAAATAAGTTGTGGAATTTCCAAAGTTGAGGAATTTTTTAACTTGGACTTTGTGTCGTCCAATTCTGTCTGTAATCACACTCATGATTAACAAATTAGACTCCCGCCTCGCGGCCGTCCAATTTTGTTAATCACTCGTATGATTACAGACCGAATTGGAATCCATTCAGTCCAATTACCATCATTAATCCAAATTTCTTCTCAAAGTAACACTTCTGAGCTCGCCATATCTTCAATAGAACTTAGTTTACTGAAGGCCACTTTCCTTGAGAGATTCATATTTCGGAAAGGCAGCTTTTAAAAGACAATGGCCGTGTTTTATGACTGGAGTTAACTTCCCATGCATCTTCAACTTTTATTTATACCGATGGACCATGCTTCAAAGTAGCTTGTGGGGAAAATAAAGCTAACGCAGTGAAACTTCTAATCTATGCGCGACTCTTATTGCAGCTGACATATGTGCACTGCGGTGAAGAGACTAACATAAGCGATCCTCGTAGCTATGAACACTACTGAGATAGTAGTTGAAACAAGGCCTGAAAAAAATTCAGGCCCGTACAGGATTTGAACTCATGACCTGTGCGACAACAGTGCAGCGTTCTACCAACTGAACTAACAAGCCAACCGGGAGCTGATCAGAAAATTGAATATTTGAAAATTGCCTTACATAGTGAAGAACAGGGATGTAGGTGAGGGCTCTTACTGAGATGATTTATTTTTTATTTTTTTTTTTTAACCTTACAATCGGGTAACAAAAGAAAGTGAATCCAAAGAATCTGTATTGCACGAATCACTTATTGCCGCATCAGACAAATTGTCACTTTTAGTAAAACACAGCTTGTATGATGACATGACGCTTGCAGAAGTAGTATGGATGTGACCTCCCCTCCCACAAATCCCAGCTATACCCCTGAAGACAGTTCAATTTCTCAAGATGCCTATAGAATATTCCGAAAGTAATAAAGGTATCCTTCATGGTTCCCCCAGTGGTATTTAAGTTGTCTCACAGTTAAACCTAACAGATCATCACTGCCGCAGGTTATCCCAGTCTCGATGGAATGAAGTAACAAATAACTTTGTTTCTTACTCAACATAGGCTTCATATACAAGTCCATCCCAATTATCCCAGAAAATTATCACTTAATTACTAGTACTCTGCTATGTTATCAAAAACTTTCAAGAAAACTGATTGCTAACCTTCATTATCGAGGTATTGTCAAGTGACGGTTGCAGCCGAAAAGTCTTCATCCCAACAGGAGTGGATAATGAACTTTCGTACTTCTCTTGCATCTCTCGGCGAAGCCTGTCCTGCTTTGCTCTAAAAATGAAAAAGAAAACTGGGTGAATTTTAAGGCAGCGCCTCACAATATTGTGTGACTTCTGTTTTGTCACGCAACCCTGGTGCTCCGAGCAGTATAAAATTTTACGTAACATCAAAACGCTTCCCAAGCAATCTCTCTCAGTAAATATGTATCACATGTGTTCGAAGTTATTCTGTGATGGAAAGAAAACTCATAACTAAAATAGATCCCAAAAATTGTAAATGATTGAATTTTTTTTTCCTGGTGTCATTAAAATCTCACTCATTCTCGTTTTTATGCGTGACCGAAGCCGCAAAATATCTCTGTGTCAAATAAAAATTTATCGGGACTGGTTATTATTTAAGACAAAGTAGATAAATTAGACTCCCCTGCCGTCTTTTATGAATCAGGGAACCAAAGTTGAAATCCACGTGTAAACAAAGCTGGACAAGTTGTCAGAGTGAGAATCACCGTCGCGAAATGGGATATATGTACCGAATTCTCCAATCGCCTAGACGTGTTGCGAGGAATACCGTAACTCATAGAAGAGAAACCAACGTTCGGAACGAAATACGATCAGTTAAATCCTAAATTACCACTAAGTTTAATATATTTCGCCATTGTAGTCCTAAGGGAAGCGAATTTGTTTGAAGTTCACTCAAACCAATAATGATAATTGTGATCGAACACAATTTGCTTTATCTTTAAGAAACTCGACCTTCGATTGCATTACAAATTCACTGGCGGACAGAAGAATAAAATTCTCTTTCGAAATTACCCAAATATATTCCCTTAGATATTTGACAAAAGCACAAAATGTAGTCTTTGATAGCATAAGTCGATTGTTGCGTGCCTTCGCAAATCGAAGCCGGACGATGGTTTCAAGCAGAACATAGGTCAAGAGCAAAGGAATGGAGTGATGGAATTTTACATAAGCTTACCTGTTACGAAATTGCTCTGGCATTATATTTCAACATACAAACGTATGTACTGTCAATGTGATTGCAACAAGAAATTTCGGGCGAAAATTGGCGATCATTGACTCAAAGTAGGCTGTTTAGTCACCCGCTGGTTGTTTTCGTTGTCAAGACAGTAGAGTTGACGATGAAAAACAAAAGCCTTTGTTTGAATTGAATAGTTACAGCCAATTAGTAACACAATATGTGACTTTTCATGTAAAACACAGAGCTCAAAACACAACTGAAGTTGATAGCTCTCAGAGCTCACAATGGCATGCCTACGTGCGCGACTAGAAAGGCAAATATTTAATATCTGTTATAAATGGCGAATGCAGATCCCACAGACAGACAGTGGACACTCGTAGTACTCAATCCTTTTATCAGTCATAATTATTTTTTTCCGAAGGAAAATAAGGCATATGAAGTGCACGTGCGCACGATTTTTTACTTACTGCAGTTAGGTGTACCACAGTAGGCTGTTAAGATGATCATCTGAACAGAAGACCGCACTTTCTATCGGTTTATCGGCGTCACAACCCATGCGAAATGTAGCAAGCACATGAGTATAGTTTGTAAATCACGAACTAGAGGCTAGCGACCTACTAACCTTACAAGCGTTCTCCCAACATGCAAAGCGGGTTATTACGCCGGTAAACTGATAGGGAGTGTTATGTGAAGGTCTCCTGTAGGTTTTTCGGGATCCGGGATTTTAAACTAAAAAGGGAGCGAGATTCGGGATTGCAATTATGAATGGGACACGGGAATCGGCGATTTTGTGGAGCGGGATTCGGGAAATAATCACTTAAACGAACCGAGAACCGGGATGTCCGTTGACGAGAAATTATGAAGAAATTGATCTTCTCAGTCCATGAAAAGCACCAGGTGCACAGGCTCTCAAGCAGTCGAACTACTCAGCGACACTCTTCAGTGTGAATGAAAATCATATCAGATGCGAAGGTAAGTTACCAAACATTCTCAATGGCCCACAGGGTAACATGGCATATAAGACTGCTGCGTCACTGAAAATGCTGAAAGGCCTTGAAAAACTTCTAGCAAGTCTCAGAATTATACCGATATGATGCTCTCAACCTGTTAAGGCTCTACTTCATGCTAAGGTTCTATTCCGGGAACAATTATATTTTGATGATCTGTTTTGTTTTTGTTTTTGTTTTGGTTTTTTTTTTTTTTTTATTTTTGAATAGCATTGAAAAGGGTAAGCTTAAAGAGGTAGTCTGACTTGAGACACGTCTTTAACATGCCCGCTTAGCCTCATGGGCTCTCAATAGGGCGATGGCTTTTACGGCTAACGGTTGAAAGTTGGGCAAAGTCAATGAATTAACTCTTACAGACGATGTGGCGCCTGAATCTACGTTCAAAGCACTTTAAAGCACCGGCGTTGAAGGTTTTCATCTTCTTCGCGGTGGCTGAACGTTCATATGGATCTAAAAAATTTCTCCATCAGGCGAATCAAATAGTGCGATGAAAATGGACTAGGAATAACCTCGTCTGCTCTTGAGTAGGTGTCATGATATGTGTGTTAAGATCTCTGATTGTCACGCTCGGCCGTGAGGCTGCCGAGTTATATTTGTTCGTCAAGAGAAATCTGGAAATGAAATCAAACTCCAACTTGATTTCTATGGATAAACGAATTCAACTCGGCAGCCAGTACAGAGTCACCGCTTCAATGAAATTGCCTGATGAAGGAGTTTTGTTACCCCAAACATACCATGTGATAAATGCTCAAACAGTGAAGAGGTGACACCTGCTCAGCCACCGAAAATTCTCGGGTGTGGCAATTTTCTGAGAAGTGTGTTACTGCCATGAGGATTATGGCATGTCTCAGTTTTGTTGGTTCCAGTCTTCTAAACTCGTTTTCCAGTAAACAAAAGGTCTCCGAGTCGTAAAGGTCGTCGATAAACTCAAACGTTTCAAGTGGAAAAGCAAGATACCCGTAAATCCATCTTGGTCTTTACTTTGTACATATTTCTGAAAAACTGTTTTCATCTCTTGCGTTTCTTCAGTTGTTGTGTGGAATACACCTGATCTAATTTTGTCTTCCTTCTCTTGAAGAAAAGTGCGAAATGCATCCTATAAGAGGAAACTAATTAATAAAACTGCTAGTTTTGTCCTAAGCATATATGTAAATGACATTAATGATATTGTTAAGACAGGGTGGTTGCCAGCAAGACAGCGAAGAGATTTTCACGTTCTCAAACTTGTTCATCAGGCTTTGCACTCCCTCAGCTGGCCGTCTTACGTACCACTAGATACAATTAAACATCTGCGATCTTTGCGGTCAAGAGCAGCAACAAGATTAATTATACCAATGGAGAGGGGCACCTTTCAAGACTCTGCTGCCAAGTTGTTTAATGCCCTCCTGGCAAATATTAGAAACTATAGAGATTTCAAAGTTTACTGCAGGGAGGTCAATGCCTATCTATTAATTAAATAAAATTTGTAAATAGTTTGTAAATTGCATATAGGGTTGCATTAGTATTACCAATCTCTGTTACATTTTATACAATATCCTTTTATAGTTCGATATTATTGCTTTTTATATTGTAGATTTCATACTTTTTTTATTGCAGTTTTTCATTTTTATATTATAGTGCTTAACAGGTGGAAAGCCACTAGGTGGATACACTGTTAATAGAACTTTATCAATAATAACTATTACATATAATAATTATTACATATAATAACTAATCTAATTAAAAACAAAATTTAATATGTGGAGCGCTTTTCAATTGAGTATCTTAAAAGAAGTAGAGGAGGGATCAGGTTTATGATTTCAATTCATTGCAAACTTACTATTATACCAGCAGTTTCTAATAGAAAGTGAAGTGTTGCGAGGTAAACTCAAAGTACTCAATGTATTATAACATTTGAACCAACCTTGCTTCCGCTGTAAAACTCCTTAAACCTCACCGTTACAAAAGAAATTCCACTTCTGCATACTTCAGAGCATGTGGTCCACTCTGTCAATGCTACGCATGATTGGTTCGCTTCCGCTAACCAAGGTGCTGTAAACATTTTTACAGAAATAAACATATTTTGGTAGCAAGACCGACCACAAATCTAAATCAGAACTGGCTGTAAATTCGTGCCCAGAAATATTTGAAGGATGTATGGGTCTCCGGTTTTCGAGGGAGACATCTCCATAATTCTTGGCGGTTTTAACAGGTACCAAAAATAGACCTATTGGGCCCCAGGTTAAGCCGAAATCAGTCTGTAGAACTTTTACAAGAAGTAATAAATGAATCATGAACTCTTTGAGATGTCTAGGCTCTCAGCTGGTGATTAATTTGGAATGATAGGAACATCAAATTAAAACTCGATCTTAAGCGAAAAGCACGCAAACAAAATAACGAAGTTTTCAAGCTTGCAGTAAAAAATATCCTGGTTAGTTAAAGCGCACATCTTTACTGTATTAACTAACTAGACATATAACTTCGTTATAAAACATTCATGATACTTTTCATGTCGAAATCTCGTTTGTATTTTATTAATAACTAAGACTGGTATTTAGAAGGTCTCCATGAGGTAATGGCTCTTTTGGCCAACGGTTGACCCTCCTGAGGCCCTCTATTCTCTAGATCTATTATTTACAAAGTACAAAAGAAACAATTACACCCAGTCATGCTACAGGACAATTGCAGAAACCTTGCGTGTTATTTCCTTTTAACCTCTAGAAGCTGTAGCTTGCGCAGTCTGGCTTGTATTCCACGAAGAACAAAGATCTTGTTCATATTTGCACAGCATCGCCTACGTTAAGGTAAGGAAGTTACAATGCGCACATTTTGGAATCCGCTTAAAGTTGCCTCTAGTAGAAATTCTAGTTATAAAGCAATTAAGCGCTAATTATTCATAGTTTTTCTTCCTTTTCGTTACAGCTAATTGAGCTGTAATAAAACTACACGGGTGTTTAAATAAGAAACTGTCTCGTTTCATGAACAGACCGAAACACGGATAACAATAATGCGAGAAATACACATTTTCCCTCTCCGAATCTTCATCTAAGTTTGATCCACAATTCATATTTGCTTCTGAAAATGGTGAGACATCTAATTGTTGGACAATATTTGTTTCACGGTTTCAGCTCTAAAATGGCATCGACGAAATACACGCTCTGGCCCCCCGAACCCCGGTATATGGCTCAAGTATAGAACTTAATCATAGCGTTCACTGGTTTCGTCAGTCCAAAAGTAGAGTAAAATTTTGCGATTGCTAACAGTATAGGTCCCAATTTCGTGCCATTTCTAAAAGCGAATTTACATTTTTGTGAGGTAGTATGCAACGACATCTTAAGGGACACGATTTAGCAAAGTTGCAGGAAATAACTTGTGATCACAACAAAGAAAACAATTGCGAACTGACTAATGCGTGTTCCAAAAAAATCTTCGTGGCTAGTTTGACACGGCGTTTCGTCTCAGTAAGGTATCTGATGACAGAAGCGAAACTGGATTTTATGGCAGGGTTGAAACAGCAACACATAGATCAAGAAATACATTGTGGCATGTAGAAACCTCCAAGCAGTCAGCCATTCTTCGCTGCATGCCTTTCCTACCACCGACTGTTTTGCTTTTGTTCATTCTGAGCTATTTGAGGTATGAAGACAAAGATTTATGGGCCCATAAAATCTGGAGATACAATAAATTTTAGTTGTGATTTTTCTCGTTCGACAACATTGCAACTTGCTACCTCTGAGTGACGAGGTGTTTTCGGGTTCAAGATTCTCCCTATTCTTCAAAGCATTTCCTTTACAACAGCAGATATGGCTTTTGGGTTTTGTAATAACTGCAATATCCAGTTCATTTTCAATATCCCAGGTCTCGGTAAGTGTCATCAGCACTACATGTACCTCGACCACGATTATGGTGTATTCAAAAAACCTTCATTCAATATGTTCGATATATGTTTCTTTCTTTTTTACAGCACATTTCATGGAAAATGCCTGTGAGAGCCAAGAAAAAGATGGAAAGCAAGACCAGAATAACTTAGCACTTTATTAAGGCACCATATAGATAGTCGACACAAATAATCTTCACCAGCTCCGCTTGCGAATAACCGGTCAATAAATATTTCCACTGATTATGTTGTCGTTGTGATCTCTATTCTACGGAAGCCGAAAAGGGACAAACCAAGAATATTTTGAAAACAAGAAAAAATATTCAGAATCAATATCTTTTAGACAAATCGCTTTTTAAAATTTTGTCAAATCGAGAAAAAAAAATAAATCCTACTTTAAATCATAGATCCACCAATGACATTTATGAAAATCGAAAATAGTTTACAATCAAAGAATATTTCCCAAATCCAGAAAATTTTCGCAAATCCAGAAAAAATATTTTGTCACGTGACACTCGCGTCGGTAGGCAGTGCTTTGTCACGATACAGCACATCGTGTCGCACTAGGTTGCGATAGTGGGTGGGGGGGAGGGAGGGGGAGGGGGAGTCAATAGGGGTATGCAAATCCTCCGATCCTCTATGATTTGATAACCAATAGTTCTTTAATCCTTTGCCGTACCTAACCAATCGCTGGGCGGGATTCCTATCACGCCTACAGAGAATCTCGGCCGCATATCTATCCCACCACTCGCTACAGTAGTATTCTCATAAGAGTCCGTTTCATTCACAAAGGGAATTACAAGAAAGGAAACACAAAGGAAACCCACATCTATGGCGAAATGCAGGGACTCCAAATTTACTTCTCGGCTCTTGATGGGTGGGCCGAGCCCCTGTTGGGGCATCAATTGTTTAACTCTTGTGCTATCTTCTCTTGGTCACTCTCGTTGCACGAAACCAAAGGCTTCTTGGTCAGCGGATAGCAAACAGTTGACGTTGGTGAACGCACTGGTCAAAGGTTGCGTGACCGGGTGGCGCGCTTTCAGACTTTCAGAACAAAGTTGTCACACACGATGTACAAACAACCGCACGTAATAAACGGGGTCACTTTGGCTCTTAGCCAATCAGTGAGCGTTCTTTTGTGACCAATTATATCACGTGAACTAATTATATTACGTTGAAAATAACCCATAAATCATGAAATTTTTAGCGGCCCTAAGAACATCTAGAGGAAACGCAGTTACACATTGTTGGCCGAAATGACGTCATAGAATGACAACAACAACAAAAATAAAAGAAACTACAGCTGCACTTGGCCAAAGAGTAATTTTTCATTCCGTGCGAAATTGGCAAAGTTAGACAGTCTCAGCTGTGCTATACAACAAAATCGAAAGAAGACTTAACAAGTTGAAATCTCATGGTTTGTCCATAATCTTTACTGATGCATTAAGCAAACTGAAATTAAGCATTAAGCAAACGTTTAGTTTGTTGCTGATGTCTTGATTCGCGCCTTTCGAACAACAATCCATCATGCAAGAACATAGTACGGTCTTTTCTATAATTCACATACTTAATAAAACTCTATGACTAAATAAGCATGTATTTCTCTCGGTTCCCATGTCTTTGTGCCGTCCATGAAATGACTAGGCAACTCTCTTTGCGTAGCGCGCATCTTACCGTGTAATTGTCCTAAAATTTCCCGCTCTACGCGCTCGGCCCAGTTCCAGTCAGACATTAAGTTTTTCTGTTTCATTTATTGAATCACCATTGACTCTCTAATGTTTACTTCACGTACTCGCGGGACTGCGCTTAGCTAATTCTTAATGGTATGAGAAATTTGGCGCGAAATGCAAGTTACACAGATTTTCTATACGGCATGGCAAAATGTTGATATATATAGGAGGCAACCATATCACCAGCCTAACCGAGAATGATCATAGGAACCACAGTAGTGTCAAGGCTATTGAAAGCGGTTACAAGGGGAATAAATTTGATTTCAAAGAATTTAACAAAGAGGAAGTGCAGTGTGCTCTTAAAAATCTCAATGTAAGAAAGTCGTATGAGTGGGATGTGACAGCACCACCAAAACTCTTTAAGGGAGTGGCTGAAGGAATTGCACCATCCCTGACTAGACTTTACAATAACTGTATTGACTTAGGCGACTGGCCATCTGAATGGAAGAAAGGTGAATGGACCCCTGTATTTAAAAAGGGAGACAGACAAGACAAATTGAACTATCGTCCAATCACTTCACTTATATGTGTGGACAAGATTTTTGAACACTTACTCAGCAAACAAGTGACCAGACATTATGACCCTGCTCTGTACCACAGGATGACAGCTTATAGAAAACAACACAGCTGTGAGACAACCCTGCTGATGTTGATTGAAGACTGGAGGTCTGCAGTGGACAGAAAAGAGCTGGTAACAATATTATCTGCTGACATGAGTAAAGCATTTGACTCGTTAAGCTATTCACTCACTCTAAAAAAGCTGGATGCCTACGGTTTTAATAGCAGTTCACTTGAACTGATTAGATCATTTTTGATAGCAGGCTAAACAGAGTAAAAAATAAATGGCCACACGAGTGAATGGAGAATTATGGAACGTGGTTGTCCTCAGGGATCGTCATTTGGCCCTCTCCTCTGGAACATGTTCCAAAATGATATGGCATTTCATATCCCTGACTCAAACCTTACGCTCTATGCTGATGACCACCAATTATATGTGACAGGAAAAACCTATGAAGAAGTCGAATCTACTCTAGTGACTCAGGGTCAACAAGCACTGTTATGGTATAGGGACAACT